ATTGAGAATGTGGATTATCATTGCAGATTCAGTGAAGCAGATAACATTATACTTGATCTTACCAAACTATAAAGTAATTTTATAATCAAAATCCACATTCCCTCTGTTTTTCTTTTACTACGAAGGTACTAATTTTCAGTCTGCCTCTTAATTCACGCTGCTCATATTCTCTGCAAATTTCGACAACGTGAATTCACCATAATCCATACGCTCAAATGTTAAACATATAGAACAGTAAACATGTCAACAGCAGTACGAGTAGAATAGCTGTTTACTAACGATGTGTGTATAAAAATGAGTGTTAAACGAGCTTGCAATAATTTAAAGTATTAGTTCTCATGTGACTAACGATGGAAAATATTAATGTATACCTTCTAGTAAAAACCATCCAAAATATAACACGAATAAGGGGATAATGATTATCTACAGTCATATGATGCATATTTGTCACACTTCAATGAACTACTAAGCAATTTCATAACTGATTTGTCCACTACTTTTTATCTTACATTTAATAGAGTTAGCTATGATGTAACTGACTGTAATATATCCTATTTAATCAAGACTACTTAATTATTCCATCCTCAGGTGTTTTTGGTTTTTGTGGAAAAAAAAGATATGCTTATTTATGCATAATCCCTTGCTTTTTTTAATACTTCTTGATAAGAATTAGTTATACATCATCAACATTGACAATAATGTATATGCCTATCGTCTCAATTGGAGATTCTGCAAAATCACTTTTTTTTAAAATGAAGTGAAATTGATTAGAGTTAGTTAAAAATGAACTGAATGTGCAAACAATGATGAATGTACAATGATAAATTTACAAATGATGTGAAATAATGTTAAAGCTAATAGTTACCTATTCTTGCTTGCACCAAAACCATCATTACAACTGAGCTTAAATTGCTAGTAATGTACAAATATCAGCACAGAAGCCTTTAATAAACCAATAGCGGCGAATCTATTCGTCTCGGTTAACGACAGGAAGGTATAACATGGAACTATATCTCTTGCAAAGGGATTGGCCATAATAACTCAGTAGCCTAGCAGAGAAAATTCTGGATTTCAAAGCGAAAGGAGATGCGTTCCAGATAAACTACGAGAAGCATCATTCACCACCAGCTGGGTACATCTGGCTGATTAGTCCGAAATGGGATGAAAAATGCATCTTAAACTTTACTGCCAGCCACGACCCACAATTGCTACTGGAATTATATGAGGTAATCTGTCACTATTTCTTAAATGATTCGTTTCTGAACTAATATCCTTAATCAAATAATAAGCTTATAATAAAATTAATGATAGTCGAAGTATAGTAACAGTCGTTCCTTATGAAGTGCTTGATCCAAAAAAAATTCTCTGTGAAAAAATATGTAGGCAGATAGTATGCTGACACAGATAAACATTATTCTGTGGATCGTTGGGAAAATGTTGGTACACTTAAACATATAAATTCAACTGAAAACTATTTCTACAATAAAGTTCATAGTGAGAATATGAAAACCATAGCCTTCACCTTCTCAGTAAAATATTTACATTTAAAGCATAAAAATAGATAATTAAGAAGCATATGTCCAGATAGAGGGGGATAGATGTCATCACTGGTGACTGCTTTCTATATAAGAACATGAGATTTTAATGCTTCCTACTGAGTAAAATGACTATGAGTTACAAATAAGCGATTAATATCGCTAAACTTGATACATTTAATCCAAAACACGTTCTTACATTAAACTTGGTATTCTTTCGCACAGATCATAGCATCACATAAAACCTATGAGACACTTACTTCAATTTTAGATATTTCTCTCGGTATCAAAGCCAAATAGCATATACAACAAATTGTAATTTCGAAGCAGAAACTACAATAAATTTCTTCTAACATAAAGAATTAAACCAGTATAAAGTTAATATGTCAAAGGTGAGCATAGTTTGCACTTCCTAATCTTTCTAGTCTTCCCTCCATTAGATAGATATATTTCCAAAAACTAACATCTTAAAAGATCACTAAATATACGTCGAAAAACCTAACAGAATAAGAACTCAAAATCGAAAACGAAAAAAATAAGAACCGTAAGCACACACCTGAATTATTACTCATTATCAGTTCGAATAACATGGCCAACCAGAACCAGTAGTTGAAAAAACTTACAAACTTTAGAGTTTCAGTTGTTCACACACAACTTCGATGCCTGGAAGTTAGGTGTCTGAGTCTGTTTCATTAACGTACATCATAGTTTCTACTGCTAACCATCAATCATAGTTAACATCAAAGTGAAATTACCGGCAATATGGATGCATCCACTCAGGAACCAATAAAACAATAGAGGTCGATCAATTTAGTCAAGTCAAAAATAAGAATAACAAGTTCTATAAGTAAAATATGCATGTCACAAAGAGACAGACAAATGATATCGACATCGGGCATGACGTAACTGCGTAACGATCCAAGTTGCCACAACCAATCTACATATCCAGCGAAAATGTAAGATAAAGAAATGGAAAAGAAAGCAGTTAAAAGCGGTAGGAAGTCTTGATAGGAGAACAGAAAGGAACGAAAAAATACTGAAGTGAGCATGACGATTACGATTAAGGTAATGTGTGAGTACATCTGCACCGCCAAGATCGATTCTGAACCAAATCAAGTAGAGTTTCCAAATACAGATTTCGGTTGTCGAGCGGACCTCTACCGGAAAGTTTACATTTCCCTGGACGACTCACAATAACAGTGAAGAACCTTGTGAACTGGTGCCACGTTTTAGTCAGGTCACCGCTAACTTTTTTTATACCAGACCTAATACAGTTAACATTTAATGACGGGTTAAACAGTGTTTAGACATGTGTAACTCATGGTCCAGCCACCTCAGTCAATACCCTCAGCTACTTCACTCCCTATTGTCAAACAAACCATCAATGTAGACCATCCTGGACCACCAATTTGCATTTCGGTAGTGAGAAACTCATCCCAGAAATTCTCATTCAAGGTGTTCAGTAGACTTCTCATCTTGCCAATGTTATCATCTAACATGACTGCCATGGATGTATTCCAGGTCTACTAATGAACTTCTGGAGACAAGATCAATCCCTGTAAAGTCAGACGACGAGAGGGAGACCTCCAGAAGTACGTCTACAAAAGCTTAGATAAGAATAGAGAATATATATCCCCGACAAACACAACCCATCGTACGCTGTGATACGCTCGCAGGTGCTCGAACACAGGGCCTTCAACAGAGTGATGCACTTACGTGGCGCCTGATTTAGTGAGAAACACTGCCATAAAACTTCTGAATGAACGGAGCAGAATGCCGGTTGCTAGTCAAGAAAGACAGCTAGTATCAAGAGTCAGTCAGTGTGGATGTCTTAGAACCTGGTAGACGGTGAAAATCTGGTCAATACTCCCACAACCAAGTCTGAAACCTGTCTGGTCTTATTGGATTTTTGGTTCCCGAGTTTCACTCGTGTATATAGTGGCAAAAGAGCCTAGTATTTCAGACACCACATTCATCAGATTGACTTTTCTGTGGTTTTCACAAAATGATTTTACTTATTTATTAAAGATTGGGAAAATCAGTGAACCAAACCAGTCAGTCTCAAAAGGTATGGCTATCGTGACTTATCAGTTTGGTGGAAAACGCCTCCGGTGTTTGAAGATCTAGGAGATGAGTTTGAGTTCAAGTAGGACTACAAGGCAACCACACTCATTTCGTGAGTCCTGAATGGAGTGAGACACCTATTCCGGATTCCAAACCTAGTCACTAGCCATCAGCAATATAAATATTTTCTAAGCATGGCTGAATAATATAGATTTAATATGAAAGGCAACTCTAGAATAAAGTGAAAATCAATGTCGTGACAGTATTCGGAACCATTAGTCTACAGGTTACTAAACTGATACTGTATCAACTGAGCTACGAGATGTATCTGCTTATCAGGTCTTAGCCTTGTTTCAGTTATCTATGGTTCTGATTAACTGCTATAGGAACCCAGGATACATCACTGTCAGCTCATCATAGTCATTACCATAGCTATTACAGAGAGTGCAATCAGTAATTACAGAATACCTTATAAAATGATAATACATCACAATTGATGAGAAGTAGCATGTATTTTAATGTAAAAAAAACCCTCTAAAAGTGTATTGGGTTAGAAAACATGTCTCCTGGCACCTAAGCTTGGTATGTTTAGGACAAAAAAACTTCGAAGTTTTGGTATTTAAACAGTTTTAATGGTAACAGATAATAGAGATAAAGCTTTAGTTTTATATTTCCTGACCCATCAAACAACTTAGTTTTTCTTTTACGGAGAACATAATATTTTTATCTCCTTACTTATCACCATAATTAAAAACATTAAAGGCTTCTTTTCAATAAACACGATGCAGGATTAATATGGCAACGAAGCAGTCAATAAACTGTCACCGGAATAACTTCTATTGATCTGAGAAAGAAATAGTTTAAGTTTGTACTTTTGAAAAAGAAAAACTAAACAGGCTGTATACCGACAAGTTAACCAAACACACGCTAATCATCCATTACTAAAAATAACTATCCACTTAACCGTGTATTTACACTGCGAAAACAATAAATGGAAAATGTAAGCAGGGAGTGTAGTTCATGAATATCATTTCCACAATCAATCTACGCAAGAAAAGAAAGGAAAAACACATTTTCTGATTCTCATTAGTCAAGATAATAAATTTTGAAATAACAATTTATAAATGGTATTTTAAGGAAAATTCACCCAATTTTTTCATGTTTATGAAATGAAGGAGATGTTAAGAAGATAAATTATTACATTTTTGAATAGTAATAATAATAATAGAAATACCAAAAATAAAAACAAACTTAAAAATAAGTCTACAATCAACATTTATAAATAGATTCCAGTATCCATGAAAACAATTATTAATATCATCAAAGTGATAGTGATATATTCAACACAATTGTGTCAGTATGATTATTGAACAGTGGAATAAACAGATTAAATTCACTCACCTTGAATAATATATCGGTGCACATAGCTTTACCGTGTGTTATAATTGGTTCTTGATCTTCGCCTCGACCATCCCAACAGTCTAATTCAATACACCTTAGAGGATTGATCAAAAAAAAAATAAGAATTCAGTAATAATAATTGTTGACTATATTTCTGAACGTCATAATGCTTATATGATTGAGTGTTTCAACGTATAGGAGTAAAAAATAGAAGATAGTCTACACTTGGGCCATAGTTCTAATATTTATTAGACAGTTATAGATGAGTATAAATGTTACGGAGCAAATTGTGGAAGTAGATCCCAGCGATTTCGATAACATTATTTGCCTAGAGAGACTATAGATGTCTCAACAGTCGGTATTTGTTAAGCCTGCGACAGAATGTGTTTAACATAGATCTGAGATGGGAAAGCTAACTTCAATGGAAAGCTGACCAGCTCAATCCAGTGTCTGTCGCATTTTAATCTACGTTTACTTACATGGTGTCCAATAGACATGACGTACAGTAGTGTATTTCGTTAACCCATGGATGACATCAAAAGCTGTGGAATAGTGTCAATAAGATGCAGTGCGATCCATTTTAGCACCACATTTTTTTTTGGAACATCATCAGTAGAGGGAAATTTCAATATGCGAAATGCATATTGCATCAATAAATAATTGATGAACCGACTGCTTACTTTAGGTTAGGTAATAATGTTGAAGATCTGACTATTTCCGGACTGCTTTCACGCTGCGAAAAAAACACGATACAACTTTTGACGTCTACTAGTTCACTATCTGTTTAACTATACTACTAATGAACATGATTTCAACAGAACACAAAACACCGAAAAAGTCCAACATGGTGTTATTCTATTCTTATATTTCATCACGACCTAAAAAATCGTGAAAAAATCACATTAGCATCTCTGTCACACACGACTTTCTATATAATGAATACTATACAGTTTTTCAACTGCTAACCTAAAACTATCTACCTGACGTATTCATTAAAAATTCAGTTACAATTTGTGATACAGAGTTTTCACAGCTCATTACGATCAAACAATACATTATTGGAAAACTTGATGACTAATAAACTGAAAAATTTCCATCAGACAACCGATATGAAGTTAAAAGGAACACACACACACACACATGGTATCAGTACAGAATCGTGATAAAAAAAAGAAAGGCCTTACATGATCTTATCACACTTTGTTTATCGATTGTACGAAATATGAAAACAACTAGGTACTGAAACAAATTAATAAGAACATTATCTGCAGAATAAAATTTCACTAATTTCTTATCAGCTGCACACAGCTTTTTCAGGTTCATCAAGGCGACTAAATATCTGAAAGTGTGTACTGATAAGACAAAAAAGTAAGGATAGATATTAATTTATATTTGCTTGTGTATATGCCGTTGTGCTAAATTATTACAAAAGTACATAATATGCACGTATGTAAATATACACGAACCAAAGGTTTACGATATTCTCGTGTGTCATTTATTGATTAATGGTTAAAAAGGTTAAAAAAGAAGAGAATTACCACTTGTCTTTATCCATAGACATAAATAAGTAAGAAAACTGCATGACTAGAAGCAATAGAATGAATAACTAATATGCGAAAATAACAAAACAAGTAGATTTACAAGTTTTTAAGAAAATTAAAAATCAAAGCATCGGACAGGTTGTATTTGAAGAAATCAGCAGATTTCGGAAAAATAATTCAAACGTTTGGCATAGAAGTTTGGCTCCAGCATAATAATAATAATAATCAAAAGTAAAATAAAAAAAGATACAGAAATGAAAAGTCAAAAGTGTATCCATAGTCTCCTTACATAATACCCCATGCATGAACACTTTTTTCTAGAACATCATGATTAGTCATTCAGTGTCAGACAGACTGATAGAATCAACATACCACCTCGCACATATATCCATCGATTCAAGTTGCCACACTTTATATCATACAAAGAACAAGTGGAGAGAATAAGATTGATATCAAAGTAGAAAAAGTTGTGTAAGAGAATCAACAATCTGAAGATAAAGCTTAGTATGAATATTCAAGCCTCAGAAGACCCGATGGAGTGGATACATCTGTACCACTGCTATCAATTTTCAGCCACATCACCAAGAGTTCTCAACCATTGATTCCTTTTGTCTCAAGGACCACAACCAGACAATATACATCTCTGCACGCGGTCAATACCAACAGTCAGGGACTTTATTGACGAGTGTCACTTCTCCGTCTGGCCACCCTCAATCCGTTTCCAACTTCATCCAGCTTCCCCTAGAATGGCACATCGAGGTAGGTGGTGACCCGGTATATGCAACACATATCCAAGCCACTTCAGTGGACTAAGGTTCATAACCTCATCAATAGACTTGCCTGTCTTACCTAATACCCTCCACCTGACCTCAACATTGTTCATACGGTGATCCCACCAAACGCAATCAATGCCACGAAGACATCTGTGATCAAAACACTATAATTGCTTTTCATCTTCTGATTTTAAGGGTTTCGTCTCCTATGCTTATAACAGAACAGAACAAACTGCAACGTAGTATACTCGTTCTTATAAATATAGTCAGATATCTCACCAGTTGGCCCCGCAGATGATGCTAGTTGGGAAATGTCAAACCGGCCGCTTGTATCCGAGCTGAGATTTCATCAGAAACCAGCAAGTTCAGGCTGATGAAATTCTCCAGGTAAGTGAAGTGGTCGAAACACACCACCATCCCACTCCCAAGCACTAAGCTCCTAGTACTTGCAGGTCAGTCTTGGAGCATCATCTTTCGTTTGACAGGTGCGAAACGTATGCCAAATATACTCAGATTTCTGCTAAACGCATACAGAAGACCCTGCATTTTGCTAGCATCTGCACTCAGCAGGACAATATCGTCTGTATACCTCAAGTCGACCAAATGGGCTGCATGGAGTGGGTCAATCCGTGTGAAGTCAAATGTCCCTAAGGGTGTGTCCACTAATACGTCTATAAGGAGGTTAAATAAGAAAGGTGACCGTGGGAATCCCTGGCTAACACCACTAGTTGTCGTCAACTCAAGGGGTAACTCTCCATAAGCCATTACACGGTTGATTAGCAATATATAGATTCTTGGTACTCCATTGACAGTCAGCCACTGCTATAACCCATCACGCTCGACAGATTGAAATGCCCCTGTAGGGGTCAAGAAGTGTGGCAAGTGTCACTCACCGATAAGTATGCCTGTGTTGCACGAACTGTCGGAGGGTAAAAATTGACGAACCCTCATCCAAGTATGAAACCTGCCTAGTTTTCTCGAGTCTGCTGTTCTCAGTCCCTAGTTATGCGTCAGATAACTAGGAAGCCTGAGATCTTGGACTCAATATTAGTCAGCCTAACTCCCCTATAATTGTCACATGAAGACTTCTCTCCCTTCTTACAGACTGGGATAATCGGAGAAGTAGACCAGTCTAATGGCACTACTTCTAAGCCACTCAATGTAGAATCACCTATATCGTATTATCTGATGCATATGTGCTATTATTTCCACCCACCTTCAATGAAAATATATGAGACGAAAACCGCCACAGATAACATCTAACTCATTAGATAATGACATCAGTATATACAATGACAGATGAAATGAAGTTGGATATAAAAGGAATGACATCAAAGTAGACAGATTAGTGTGAGAGAATAAACAAACTGGAGATGAAGATTAATGTGAATATTTCAGCTTTAGGAGACATCGAAGATATCAAACACATACTATCCAATCAGACTAAATTTGAAGTGTCAATCCATTAAAAATTTTCAGTCATGTCATAATGTTTCCAGGTGTTCTCAGAAACTATCACTCTCAGTCTGGAGAACCAAATAGTCGGGTTGGTACGACGATAAAGTGAGTGTAAATTTTACACGTATGGGTTAACCGATGATGTTCTCGAAGAAATCCACCTTGGTAACTGTTTATATCTGGAGAACTCACTTTAATGTATAATTAAAGCAACACAGCTCTGGGAAGTAAGACTGTCCAAATATATAACACCAATTTACTTTAATTACCTACAAGTTTATATCCATCAACAGAAAACAAGACAGCGATGACTTTTGGGTTTTTACCTCATTCGAAAGTGCAGTTATGTAATAAGCCTAATTATTTTATTTTCTATACTGTTAATGCCAAAACTTTTAAACCCATAAGGATACCCATGAAAACTACGGATATATGAAATAGGTATGACCTAACAACTACGCGTACGTCTATCATTAGGAAATGGGCTACACCTATTGTATGAGAGACATTATACTGCTTGATTGACCAAACGTTGAAAGATTATGTAAGTTTCAGGTATGTGGCCTACCCGTTGAAAGTTGATTACATAAGCCAATGAACCACAGATAAGGAAATATATGCGCTATACAAACAAGCTTTAAAACAAATATAGTGAAATGTTATATTTTTCGACAAAATATTCAGGGAAACAAACGAACGAAAGCGGTTTTTCTTTTTTAAATGGGAGCTGATTTATACACTGTACTTGAAATATTGGAAAATGATATAATAGCCCTTACTTTATTGTCCAAAAAAAGGATATATGCACTGGTTTCATTACTGAATGAATGTTTAAACATGGATATAAATGTACAATAAGCTTTCTGCAAACTATTGGTAGTAATTAAAAAGTCTCTTTTCAGTGGGGTGAATATCAATATAACTCTATTGTTACCAGTCAACTAATAGGTTTGGATAATTGTCAAATTAATCAACATTAGTTAACAAGTTATTAACTGCAGGAAATGATAACATCACGTGACGGGTTTATGATAAATACTCTCAATCAATAAAAATATGTTGATTACTTGAAATACAGGACTAATTAATGCAACAAATCAAAATATACATCCACTGAGGTAAGTTCAATAAAGTCAGTAGGAATAAAATTTCCAAGTCTGTGGATGGTGAATGAACAGAACCTTGATTAAAGACAAGATTTCAAATCCCGATATAGTATCATACGCTTTCTATAAGTGAAGAAAAAGATTCAATCGCTAATTAAAGTCAAACTACATTTTGACTATAAAAAAAATATTCAAGGCTACAGAGTGAACAAGGGATACACATCTGTAAATATTTCATTCCACTATCTAACAGAGATAAGAATTATCGCATTGAGTCAAATCAACCATAGTCTAACGACTAAAAAATTCGAATAGTTGAATGTTATACAGACAACTCTATAATACTGGTAGCAATGAAAATATGATAGTCGACCAACTTACCTACAACCAGCTAGCAATACTTGTCGATAAATTTCTACAGATGATTTCCCACCGAATTGTCGACCAATTAGATAAGTGTTATGCGATGAATTAATATAATAATGACTAAGTGGTTGATCCATATCTTGATAGACATCCAGTTTATCCAAAAATACACAAGCATTATCATCAGACATTAAATAACGATAGAAGCATTCAATTGATATTTCATCTAAAACAAAAGGATGAAAATAATGGATTGAAATAATTTTTAATTTTAATTTTTTTGCTTAAGTATATCTTTTATATCATATGATAGTAGTAAACATATGATTCATCTAAAGGGAGTTTCCATGATAAAATAGCATTGTTAAAAGGAACAATAATAATTTCTTTTAAAAACTCTAAACAGTTATTTTATCAACCCAGATTAGGACACTTCAGTAATGAGGTGGAATCCAAAAGCTTCAGCTTTCAAGGTGAGTAACCTCATGGTTTAACTAATAAGTTTGAGGTTAACAGTTTGAATGTTACATTTCCGTTTCAGTCAATTGATGATATATCACAACTACCAAACGATGATGGAATCTAGAGAATCAAATAATTCATACGACTGACAGAAAATATTACTCTAAACCAAGGCTTGTTAATACGACAGGAGAATGTGAGTCAGTTCCTAGAATTTAATAGCAGCATGTAATAAAACTGTTTGTTGAGGCTTCGAAAAACTATCACATGTTCACACATCAGCTGGTCGGTATAACACTTCTAAGCTTTATTTTAGTATCCTGCACACTGATTTCAGCCACTAGGTCACTAGTTTAAACAAATAAATAGATAGGCAATAGCATCGCTAAACTTCATGAGGCTGTTGTCAAACAAGGATCCCCACACACCTCAATGTTGAAGTTCTTTATTCTACAATTATCTCCCCTTATTGTGTAGACAATGTGGTAAACATGAAAGAAATGATTTAATGGCTGGTAGTGAATTATCCACACTTCCATTAACCAGCAATCACACATCTTGTATGCAATGTTAAGTTAAAGCGGAGAGGTATATACGTAGTGAAGGGATAAAAATTACTTTTAAAACGTTTGTCACTAGTTGACATACGTAAGCCGGTCATTATGACCTCGATATTTTGCACCACTTATGATAACGATACATGGAAACTTAAGGAAGACTACATCCAATTATATTGATCTTGGTGACCAGCGAAGAAATCCGGTGCATGCGTTACGTCCTGTTTGAGATTCGTCAGCTGGACGTACTTGCACCCTAGTGAGTGATGTTGCTCCCACTGAGGCTCTAGTCCAGTGCTCTTCGCTTCAAGCGCCAGAGCGTTATCCACTTAGCAGGAAATTAAAAGTATCATAACAACAACTGATACTTGCTGCACAAAGAGTGACTATTGTGCCCCAGTGGTTTAGCAGATAACGCTCCGACGTTTGAAGCGATGGGTACTGTGTTCCAGCCTCAGTGAGAACAATACCACTCACTGGGATGCAAGCACATATAGCTGACGAGTTTCAAATAAAGCGAAACGTGCGTCCAGGATCCATCTGCTAGTCACGTAGATCAATATAACATTAGGAATAATCAGTATTATAGAGGCATTCGTATATGAGTGCATCTGTCAAAAGAGGTCGTGCGATTTGGCGCTGTATAACAACGGGAAATTACAAGTATCATTAATACATGGAACTATTATACAAACTTTACGTGAATTATAGTATGATTTGAAATCAGTTAGAAAACAGTATTGGTAAGTAAGATTCTGACAAAATGATTTACTTACGTAGAAATCATATTATTATTAAAGCATTTCAAACTGATTACCTATTTCTACCTTTGCATTATGAATGGGAAAACATTTCATTGTTAGGTTAGATCAAATAATAACTACCAATAAATAGAAAAGAACAGCGTCTTGTCAACGACAAGTACCACTTATTGTTAATTATATTTGAAATCAACTTTAACAAGAAGCTCCGAGTATTCCCATTTCACCTCTACGTTAAGTCATACGAATTGTAGTGAGCAGTTACATAGAATAATCAATCATTCACAAATACAAATTAAGTCTCATCAAAAATTAAATAGGAACATTAATCAGTATAACCAAAAGAGAGATAGAAACACTGGACAAGTTAAATCTTCCCAATCTTACCAGTATTTTTAAATTCTTCTTGTGTTTCATAGTTTTCTTGAATATACTTAATTGTTTGCTTGTTAGCATATGGATAGAGAATCTCATTTAAGCGTGGATCACGTTGAGTCTGTGAGTACATAGAGAAAACAAAATTACAAAATAGTCGGTTATTAACATTTTGAGATGAAAAATTTAAATAACACTAACCAACATGTTGATACATATGAAATTCATTGAACTTTCAGCTTTCAACTGAATTTAATTTTATCCCTATTCATCATAGAAAAAGAGGTCATACAAAAAATAGCAAGCATCAGCATTTGCCCACAAAGTATTATTCAAAATTTTCATAATAAAATAAAAATTCATCAAAGCAGTAGAAAAATTACGGATTCATCGAAGATATCTAGTTCTTCAGAATAAGCATCAGTTAACTAAGTACAAGGCAAGCCTTTAAAATACATTCCAGTACAGAATTATAGAGGTGAATAACATGAAGGAGAATGAAGTTGCGGCTAACACCTAACTCATGAGACGAAGCGAACAAATAAGCGCTAACTTTGCTTGTTTCATATCGTAATATGGGATAAATATCATGTTTTCGAATAGACAGCAATATTTCTGTGAACTGCTCATCAATCAGATCAACCCACAGTCAGACTTGAAGTGTCTACTAATGTAGTTTATTTATTATCATTTGACTATCTGAGATAGCCGTAGTTTTGCAGACTAGTATTTATACTGAGTGATGACTGGAGGTCAAATAGAAATTTGAACCTCAGCCGGATTCGAGCCAACGACCACTTGGCTTCCGGCCTGATGTTCTACCTAGTAGCTCAGTTGGTAGACCATTTGGCCGGAAATCCGATGGTTGCTGGTTCAAATCCGGCAGCGGTCTAAATTTTCACTTCACCTTTCATCATTATCCAGTATAAATAGTTTCTTTAATCGCATAAACAATACTTACATAAACTTACATAAACATACATAAACAATACTTACTTACTTACTTACTTACTGAAGTACAACTTAATTGGTCTAAGTTGAAATATGGGCTCTTATGAGGATCTCTTAATATTCCCTGAAAAATAATCATGATTAAATTTGGCGGGGTATATATATATATATATATATATATATATATATATATATATATATATAGCTGGTGAGTCCCACGTGTCACGAAACACGAGTCCACTGCTAGCTGCTACAAATCAAATTATATTATAAAGTATGACTATTCATTTGTGGAAGAAGCAAAAACATTTATTGCTTCCATCGCAGTGTTCATATCATTCAGACACCCAGCTTGTAATGAGTAAGTAAATGCAGTAAAATGAATTTGTAAACTACAACTGCCTAGAGTAATCACTGTATAAAAGCCCGTGAAACAGACAGACTATGAGAAATCTGAAGATAACTTGTTGTAAATAATCAGGTTGATATGAAAATTATTGAAGGTAACTCGAATTCATAATTTCATTCGTTTACATTACACATATACATATTTTTCAGTCACAATCAATAGAGTTGGACGTAAACAAGTACATGGATAAAATCTTTAGCTGACTACTTAGTTTCTACGTATTTATCCCTCCTAGTATGTAGGTATTTATCATGCAAACTGAACACTTAAACAAAAGAAACAATCATGCGAAGACAAATTCATGTGCAAATGACTGGAAATGAGCTTGAGTAGTTATGAAATCCAAACTAGCAACTATCAAATCTAATTCGCTATTCACGATACCAAAACGTTAGTGCTTATGAAAAAAGTAACCAAGATGCCGTTACACTTCATATATAGTAATGAAAACTTTATTCGCATTTTGACTAACTGAGATAGTCCTGATTTGGCAGACTTATACCGATACTGGATGATGAGTGAGGGTGAGCCGATAATCTGGCCACAGCGGGACTCGAACCAGAGACCTATGGGTTACCGATCCGGCTCTCTGCCAACTGGGCTATGAGACACAGCTGCTGATCAGATCTCAATTTCACTTCAGTCACCAAGTAAAAAATCACGGGTTCACATGGCAGTCGGATAAAACCCTTAGTGATTGCATTGAAGTTAAGATCTGGTCGGCAACCAAGTCTTCTAACTCAGATGGTAGATCACCATACTGATTATCTGGAGGCCACTGGTGCGAATCCTACCATGGTCCAGATTTTCATTTCACCTTCAATCATCACCCAATTTGGAAAGCCTTGTTTTTCCTCACCAAAAGTATCAAAAATGACGATTTTCGACTACATTTGTTTTAATCTGCTAATAAGCTAGTTCCCTTTGTAGCATGCATATACATGATGTATAAATGGAAGTGTGAAATCAATCCAACTGATTAGGTCTGTGATACGCAAAAATGTTGTCGACCTAGTAGAGAAAGTTTGTTTTTCTATTAAACATATCTTATTATTGGTAGTGCAGATGCAATTAATCATTTCCTGTTTCGTTATTCGATTATATGTAAGTCAAATACAAGATGTTTTCATGAAACAGAACATCAGACATAAATTAAAAGATAAAAAAATAGGTTTGAGAGACTGTATCAAAGGATACCTAGTATAATAAGTATGAATTTAGATCCTTGTTTGATCCTATCAAAAAAACATGATGAATAAAGTTGTTAAGCATGCTTTGAAAAGTATATTGAAGTCATCAAAAGCATTAAAAATGAATTTTAACATCTCTTATTAGCTACTTTTGTATCCTAGTTATTTTCGGGAAGACTTTAAACACGAATTCAAACCCAGTAGTTCTGGACGTACACATTGTACTACTCTGAAAGCCTTTACGAGTATAAGTTATCAATCTTCTCTAGGGTCAAACATTTAAGAATCTTAATCTTACGGTTGGCATAATAACGTCTAACCTATGGGTGAAACTGTACTTGTTTATGCTTGACGACATCAATCGGAAAATTATGTACACAGTTTCAGCCATAAGCCTCTACTTTCCCCTCATCGCGTACTTTATATCCCCCAAAAATTACAACTTACTGCTGCAGCATAACAATCCTGAACCAATAAAAATACAAATGAAGTATTAGCTTCTTGATGCGCTTCTATGCTATCGACTGAGAGCTACAAACTTGATGTGTAGGTCTGGTATGTATATCATGATGACTAAATGAGCCATATTGATGTGAAGATTTGTTCAACAAGGTCATTCTATACCAAAGAGGATAGTGGTTAGACAACAAAATGTTACCGTTCAAGTGTAAACTGCTACGTTACAGCGATGATCTAATTGTGAATCTATATTAATAGGTGAACGGGATATGATACCCATCAAGTGTTTCCTACATATGACCATCAGTTCAAACTGATGCTGCTTTCCCTATGAGAACAACAGTTTTGAAAGTTCAACATCAAAACTAGCACACTCTCCTGTATCTTGAGATATTTCAGTTCCGGTGGTATATGGTTTCTAGCTGTAATTAGGTCAATCAAAATTTGACATCAAACTTCCAAAAAGGCTGTGTGACTGCCTTCAGGCGCATGCCTTATGGGCTCTGCAGTCACACATCACCATTACAAATTCATTTCCTCCTCCAGATACCTTAAGGAAACACCTTCAATTGTATGCAGAGCTAGGAGAGGCTGCTAGCCTGCATGCTTCCAGCAGTATACAAACACAATCAAACATAACCTACATTTCTTACACTTGGCTCCTCCAGAGTCTTCACTTTCAGATATCAGTAGAAAGCTTCTGAAAACTTCCTCAACCTCTCATCCCGCGATCACTGACAACGATTCAAGTAAGTGAAACCTAATTTCTAGTCTCTCAAAACGCCGCTACCAGTTTCACAGTGGATCCTTCAAAGTTCGAACTATATACCCAATTGGACAACTACTGATATGCCAAAACTTTGGAATCTCAAATTATGGATATATGTTGTGTTTCGGAGGCCCATGTACAAAGCCGGCTTCAGTTTCCCAACATACAGCTCGAACTTGAATTGGATGTAGATGTCGCTCCCCTAACTCTCGTCAAAGTTTAGAAGACTATATTGAACCTGAAACGATGCGAGCAGCAGCACTTGATGTCTTGCTACCAGACCTTTTCAAGGATAGAGGTACTAGGTGTAGAAATCAGAGGTAGTCTTGACCTAAAGAGGACATTTGACTCTGTCGACTGTGAGGCGTCGTGGCATTGTCTGCTTGTGAATGGAGTACCGAGCAAGTATATATTGCTTACCAAGGCTCTCTACTCAAACTCATGTTCCCATGTAAGGCCTTGTGGAGACCTGTCGTCAATTCTGACGACAACTAGTTGTGTGCGCCACGGATAACCGCTACCACCGTTTCTGGTTAGCTTTTCTTATGACATGCTAGTGACATAAACCCAGGTACCTCTGACTTCCTCGGATATACTGACCATCTGAAGAGTATCTTTTAGATTGGAAGCGTAGGGATGACACTGTTATATTAGACAAAGACGCTGACAAAATGTAGGATATTCTGAAAGCCTGAGCAGAAATTTGAGTACCTTTGGCAGGGATTTCGCACCACGTATAAATTTGTATACATTGAAACCACTCCTTTTCTGCTCATTTGTTCTTTGCATGCTATTTGGTGCGGTAACTTGTACGAATGGACTTGCGTATTAGGTTCTACATCTATTTCTTTTTGTGAAGAAAGAAACCAATTAGGTTTGTTTGTTTAGCAACACAAACTTAACGATGACCAATTTGAAAGTAGCCCTAATGAAAAAGTATGAAATACCGTGCGGCCTCTATTAAATCACTTTCTGTATAAGCTATGTTACAAAGTGTATGATAGTCTATTCCATACATCATACTGGCGAGTAATTACTAAGAAAAACCCTTTCGAACTGGCTAGATCCCAATTTTTAAAATGCAGTTCACATTATTTATCATCATTCAGCGGTTCATGAAATTTTAGGAAGTTAACGTCTGCTATGTGGTGTGATAACGTGAACCGCTACACCTATGTGCCAGGTTCTACATTATTGTGGCTGCCTGTCTACATATAACAGGCTTTATTATATAATACAGAAAAGTAGCTGTTGGACAATAATCTGTTCTGTTTTATAGAACTACCACCGATATTTACGGTGGTTATTTTTAGTATTTAGTTTCAAAGGAATAAACAAATCTCCGGATATAACCTAATTTACATACAGAGCGTAAACTTTTACTTGAGAATCTTTCTCATAAATCCCATATCGACATTCAATTGATTTCGGTAATAGCCCTATTGTAGTGAACAGGATGAGTCATTCCTGGTTGCATATGTATGTAATAGGTTGTGAAAACAATGCTTTCTGTGAAAATAGTATTCTTAATGTCAAATTACAGGCAAAAAACTTGTTACAAATGACGTATTCCACAAAAAAAAAGGAAAATAAGTGAATCATACGTATGTTAAAAGTGTTCTAACGTATTTATGCAATAACGCTTGTGCATAATTATGAAAAACACAACACAAGTAAATTGGGAAAAAGTATTTCTTAGCAGATGTAGTGATGACCGGATCTGTAGCAACCTCATGGAAACTGAACGCTTAAAGCAACCCCACTGCTTTTCGTTTTGTATTGTCATATGTCATTAACTATTTATTATCATGATATCCATTAGAAGTGATTAACAGTATAGTTCAGCAAGTAAGCCTCTTGCAGTAGTTGTTCAGTAGAATGAACAATTTTGCGTTACAACTGAAAATTGTAAGCTTATTCAAATTTAAAAATGATGCATATTTACTAGAAATAGCAAACACACATCTACACAAGCCAATAGGTTACAGCAATAAGTCTTAGTGATCAGTAGGCCCAATTTATTGACCAATTTTATGACAAAAGAATGTAAGTATATCTAATAAATAAGTTCAAAAAGGAAATCTAATCCTGGATACTAAAGGTAATGACCGATAACAAATACAAAAAAGATCCCTATTCACCTCAAAATACACTACTCTATGGTACTTATCAGTGATATGCTTCCAGGTGGAAGCTGTGACCTGTGGAGTCAAACAGTCGGGAGGGAAGTGGATGACAAATGAAGATTTCGGGCGATAGTAGAACTCTGACTCAGTAGCTAGAAGGTTAACGCGTTCGTCATACAACCTGAAAGTCGTAGAATCGATGCCTAACCGCGTCATGAGTGCGTATTACTGCGTATCACACTGGGGAGAAATAGCTGTCCAGTGTAACCAGATTTTCAACTGTTCTCCAACTGATATCAGTTCGTGATGAATACTACCTCAAAATTAAAATCCTCATTAACCTCAAAATATTATTAGCAAAAAATATTGTTCATAAATCAACTTCATGTGAAGTTGAAGTCACTCTGTTGGAGGTTCTATATAAAACATATCCAAATAAACGTAAAGTTATGTTTTACTCACTTCATTGAGGAACTCAATCATTTTATCTGCATGTATATGACTTTTTCCTTTTGATCTGGAAAAAACAAGTCAAGAAGAAATTGAAAATCAACGTATCATTAGGAGTGGATTTAGTATAGCTAACGATTTTGCGTATAAAATACAAAGACCATTATTAATTAGGATGAATAAACTCCATATTTAAGCATGTTGACTGAAGGCTTGAAAAGATACAAGTGTCAGTACAGTATAATATGAATACATTCAGGGCTATAAGTTCATACAGTTTCCCTACTACTAATACTGTATAAAAAGAGTTCTTCACAAAATTAATCAGTGAAAGATAACAGATACGAAGAAACCCATAACTTGTTTCAATTATTTACCAGTGACTTAAATATACTTCCAGTACGTTAAACGTTGAAAAGACCACGTCATATGCTTTCAAATGATTGAATAATCATTTATAGATAAATAAATTTAACAGACACTTCGATTAATGAAGCTGAAGAGTATAACTTAGACAGTACAACTGGGCATTTTTAAGCTTCTCTTTAATTAGAACAAGTAGCTTCGATCAAACTAACTTGATTAACTTTTCTTCAGGTTTCAGAGAAAATTCTTTCAGTTCATAGTGATCAGTAGGATGTTAAGGTTTAAAAGATTAGAAGAGGATACTTGTATTCAACTTCTTACTTCCTTTCATCGATTAGTTGAAAATATCAGTGACTCATTTAAACATACTGCTAAATTGCACAAAAATGAATACTATCCTGAGTAGTAATCATTCAAATTGTAAACAGTATTCAGTAAATTCAACAAATAAATATCAAAAGAAAATATTTGACCGTAGATATTTGCAGGAGTAATTCGATCGATCCAGATTCTATTTGAATACAACATATGAAGTCAACGAAAAATGAAACGTTAACCATAACTCTATGGGATGCCATAAGCTAAAGAATGGCAGAACTCACTAACTCACAGATATATGCAGAGTCAATTATATCACAAGAATATAGATATATAGGAACTATAATTGCTGAGCATATAATAAAAAATCCATAGCTTATGATTTCTAATCGGTTTGAAAAGCAAAGTTAACACAGGTTATGAAGTGGATGAATTATTAGCCATCGTAATAATGAATCAATAGATTCACTGGAATATTTCAGTTTGATATCAATTTGCTGAGGTCATTGTCATCATACAAATTCAGTTCAACTTTTATACCCAACAGTAAATAGTTATCAACCCCATTACTGTATTGATAAGATGGAACGACTACGCTTGAATCACTCGACTTCCTAAAAAGTTAGGAACTATATTCATTATTTCTTAACAACTACCTCCATTCATAACCATCCTTGAAAGAGTTAGATGCGAGGAAAGTGAGGTCATAAAAGGATTTAAATATCGATCTCAACTACTTGTGAGCTTTTTATACAACAACTATTCATATTCAATGAGTAATTACTTCCACTCATATCTAATTTTTAATTAGCTCTTCGAGAACATTCATTTCGTTGTTTTTCAAATATATCCTGTGTATATGTGATTGCTTGTAATCGCCCATGCTTTACTGGACCAAACTTTTTACTCTCTATTAGTATATGGGCTGCTGTACGGATACCTTGATGTTGGTAGTAATCTCAGTTTAATGATGAATAGTGGCTAGCAGTGGGACTCATGACACGCATTTTGTTTTGTTTGAGGATTGTCAGCTGTATGTGCTTACCTCTTAGTAAGTCTTGTTTCCACTAAGACTTAAGCCCAGAACCGATTACTTCAAGCGACAGAACGTTATCTAGTATGCAATCATCATGCTCACTCCTTGTGTGACTGTTATAGCTTTTGTATTATTGTTTGTAATTTCTTGTTTGACTGAATCTTACCCTCTCTAAAACATTTTTGATAGTTTTAGTGCTACAGTATTTTGTCTGGGATGTTTGAACTAGCAAAAAAGATGTTTTATGTGAAGTATCATGTTTTTGTGGCACCTGTTTGTTTATTTATTCACATTATAGGCAGCTGATAAATAAATTCACTTACTACTCTACAAATTTTATCCTAACTACACTTAAAATTCATTAAGACAAATAACTATATCATGTTCAGCTGCATTATAAAAAGTATAGAAGTATCAACCATCTGGTACAAAAAGAAAATTAACTAGGCATAAAATTGTTGTCAAGTTTATTAGCATAAATGATTACTGGAAAGGAACATGCTTGTAAATTATACAACATAATAATGGCTACAACACAGACATATAAACAGATATTGATGAGGAAATTACTCTTCTCCTATTAAGAGTCTTAGTTTTGACTGAAAAAAAAAATTTACTAATGTAGACTAGTTGAGTCTGTGACGATGAAGTGAAATATGACTGACTTTACAATCTATCCCGATGCCCATGGACAACTATGCTGAAAAGTTAGAAGTTATATGACAATAAATTTTCGTTGTCATACCATGCTAAGTTTTGTCTGCAGCATATGTGAAATTAGTAAGAATAAATACAGTAGTGATTGACAAAATATTATTCAGTATGTTATTGGTCACTAAGAAAAGCTTAGAATAGGAAAAAATTTAGTCCCCTAATTTTTTAAAACTACTAGGATGTAGATATCACTGTGTCCAGGAATGGTTATTACCGTCCATCATGCCAAGTCATCGGTAGGCAATAAGCATCTTGAAGATTTATCCACACAAAAAAAGATTCCAAAATAGAACTATCGTTTCGCAGTATAAAATAAGCTGACGATACACACATAAATATAAGCGATACAGATGAAAATGGATACAGTAAATGGGATAGAAATCAAGGTGTTGACGATAGGCAGAGCTTCAGACATATGACTGGGAGACTCATCTTATTTATGCAGACCGTAAAATATGCAAAGTACTGGCGAAAGTTGACTCAAGAATTTCATAACCTATGACTATTAACCACTTTATTCAACCAAAACAGTACCACACAATTGCGTTGGTATTCTATATTACACATATAAGTGCATAAATTCAGTCTCGCAAAGAGCAAAGATTAATATTCCGAAAATGTGTGATCCGTTGTACATTAGTCAGTGAAATAACTAGTAGATTCAATTTTGAGTTAACATTAGTTTGAAACTGAATATTTTAACCTTGTGAATGTCGAGGGTGATGTATTTCCCAAAAGATCCTCTAAAAGACTAGATTTGAGGGTGAGATATAATACAATGACACCTATAAAATGTAATTTTCTGAATGTCAAAAGATCTAGAAAGTCTGCTAACCGTTATGCACTTGTCAGATTTCCAGAGAGTGCTTCAGTGATGGTCCGCAGTGACACTAAATACAGCAGAGGGCATTAAAAATAAGTATTTTCCATCAGTACACCTGGAGATTTAAATCAGTGAAGTTTGGGTCTAGATATACAGATGATGAGTGGTAATAAGTTACTGAAATTGTTAAGCTGTGTTAGCAGAAACACCTAAGATATAAGATATTAATCTATACCTATTCATTCACTACGGTCTCGTAAGTTAAGTGAAGTAAAAACATCGTAGATGACGAATTTTATACTACTTAGAACTAGAAACAGTGTCAAACTATTAGGTCCCTAAAACTTTCGAAAATCATTTCTGAAATTTCAGCCTTGTCTTTAAAGTAGAAAACAACCAACGATTGAACAAGTTTCATGAAGCTGTAGAAAGTTAATTACAATAGCATTGATTTATCTCTGTGTTAAGTTTGAAAATAAATCTTGAATATTGAATTATTCTGGAAATATACAATCCATAGTTGGTCAGTTCATTTGCCTAACTTATTTAAAATGGATTTTGCTTTTGATACTTTTCAGTAGTCACAAAAATAAGAAAGATTTACAAACACTGTTTAATTTATTATGTAATATGTTTACAAACTGATGCTAAGGAAATTGTAACTTATCATAACCATAAGAGCATGATAATTCTGTACAAAAAGGTATGCAATGAAGCAGAATGTACAAAGTTTTAAAGATAAAAAGTAGTATAAATTTTTTAAGAAAATCATATTTACACTATATACCTTGTTGTGTTGAACGACTAACTCAAATTACCATACATGAGTAGTTTAGTCAACTCAAAATGGATAAGAAAGTTACAAACAAGAGGCTTATGAACATCAATATGCAGATTCATTTGTCTGCAGAAAGTAACTTCATGATTATGAATCGAATGAATCATAATTTTTCTTTAAATAAGCGTAAGATAAATGAAGGTGAAATCAATAGAACACCGAAAAGACTTACAATGTAGGTAACTTTCATATTTAAAGATGCACTAGGACCATCCTAACAATCTTAGGAGCATATTGTTACAAAAAGTGTTCACAGAATAAATGAACAACGAATATTGTTTTTATGAGTCGAATGAGGAAAGGTCATGAGATGTTGACGTTGTAAAAGACAGAAAGGCAGAATAAGAGTCGAAATTAAACACATAAGTGCATCCATCCAAGTTGACACACTTCACAGTAGTATACAAAAACAGGTGAGTAGAATAAGAGTGATATCAAAGTAGACAGAGTAGTATGAGAGAATAAACAGTTTGAAGATAACGTTTAGTGCGAATATTCAAGCCTCGGAAGACGTCTAAGAGTGGATGCATCTGCGCCTCTGTGATCGGTTTTCAGCCATGTCACCAAGTGTCACCAACCACTGATTCCTACCGTCTTGGAGATCCCAGTCATGTGGTTTACATATCTGCACACGGCTCAAACCAACAGTCAAGGAATTCATCGACTGTGCCATGTCTTGGTATGGTCACTCTGAACCCTCTTCCGAGTTAATCTAGCTTCCCCTAGCATGTCAAGTTGAGGTAGGCAAGGGCTTGGCACGCGCAGTAAATGTCTAGACTACGTCGGTCGTTAAAGATCTACTACAATCAGTCGACTTGCCTGTCTTACCTCATACCGTCCCGCTGACATTAACACTGCTCTCATGGTGATTCCAACAAACACGACCAATGCTACGAAGACATCTGTGATCAAAACACTGTAATTGCTTCTCATCTGCCCTTGACGGCTATATTTGGGCTGATCCAACTTCTTAACGTTGTGAAACCTATACCATGAACTGCTCTTTCGATTAAGGGCTAATTTGAATGAACATAATATGTTAAGTTCAACGGAATTTATTTTTATCTTTAAATAGGCATCTTCAGTAGGGAAAACAGACCCGTTTAGTTATTATATATATATATATATATATATATATATATATATATATATATATATATATATATATATATATAACTCGTTTGTAAAGTGATGAACATCTACAAAATGCTTTTTTAACCCTCCATCTTGATGACTACATCTTGTCCATTTGTTTGAAAGATTTCATTACCACAGTCTGTGTTATCCTGGAAAATTTTAAGTTTATTTATATATGTTAATATTACAACCCGGTAGTAGAAACCACTGGATTCGAAGTGGCCAAACTTGAGACAAGTGAATTATGTACTGACTTCTAGACAAAAATTATCAATACTCACACAGTATACGAGTAGTAGTATTTATTCATAAAAAAGTAGAAAATTAAGGGAAATGAATATCTGCAATTTACTTCAATTATTATTCGTAGAAATTATTCTACCCACAAAACAACATCATACATCACAAATGATCAATTAATGCCTAGAGGTAAATGTCCCCTAGATCATAAATCATAGAGGATAATAATACGGTTTATTATTGGTTAATTTAATCCAGATGTTTTCAGAGTAAAATAATTTCAAGCGGTCATAAACGATTATGCATACAACAACGGAAAAATCAGATATGATACCCAAAGAAAGACAATATAAATGACGGTATTTGCAGAAATCACTAGACTAACGTAGTATTGATTTAAAACTATAGAAAATTAGAATAAGAGTTGATAGATCACTGGAGTTTTTCTTAAGATTTATTTAAATTACAAATAACCTCAAGTATTTGTAATAGTGATAGTAGTAAGATTAGCCCACTGAGCCAAGATCATGTATAGAATTAATATCACAAAAAGTATGGGTGAGTAGAAGCAGGTGAATATTCCTTAAAATTTATTTCTTTTTGTTATATAATATCGATAGTATTAGCTGTAGTGATAGTAGTCAAAGTTAGTATGGGTAATTGTAGTGTCAGTATTATTAGAATTAGTAGAAGCATTGTATTATTCTTAACTTATGATAGTTATTACCGAGTGAAACAGTTTACAAAACCACAAGCAAAGAAAATAATAAATATGTCAAACTTACAAAGATTTAAATAAATCTTCAATATCTGTACGTGGGCAAATTTTGTGGTATAACTCATAGAATTTCTCAAAAGGAAATTCATTTGGATCAATATCATCATTCTATAGAAAAAGAAGAATAATTAACATCTTCTTCGACAAAGAAAATAACTTAAAAACTTACCTTCCCATGAGGTAAATTTAAATCCTTTAAACTTTGATATACAACACGTTCATTACGCCCTGAGGCAAATGTCTTCATAATTACACGAACAGGAATTCTGTTACGAGCATTCAAAGTTAATGTGAGCCGTAGCCAACTACAGAAGAAAAATGAATAAAAACAGAGAACTGATTATTTTTTTTATACAAAATTACTCTATAGTATGAACTATTCTTTATGATGTACTACATTTTGACATAAGTCAATCGAATAAAAATAAATTCTCATAATTGTATGCCTACTGGCCAATAGAAATATGGTGAAACAACAATCGGTTTAATAAGGCTGCTAGTGACTCTAGACCATAAGGATAAAGAAAAGAAACAAGTTGAACATTTAAATTAACTTACTTTTCCCATAGGGCTATATGAGAAGTTTAAGACACTATGACACAGCTGAATCATAATAAGTATGATCACATAAAAGATTACACCTTCTTCCTTATGCCACATATGTAGGCGTTCAGAACATTCCTAAACCAAAATGGCTAAGAAGCTCTATGCACATATACGGAAGCATCAATAAAATGAATCTGACACATCTTTGCAATATTTAAGACATCTTGAAATTATACAAAATCTTGCATGAAATATCTAAACCTGAAATGACTACACTTCCTGTTTCACACAACACAAGTTCCACGAAAAAGAGAAGTGATTCACAACGTTGATGAGCATGTTTCACACACTATGGACCTAAAGAAAATAACAGCAACAAAAAAATGCTTCTTTTCCACAAACTCATACTCCTATCTGTACATTCTATGACACATAGTAGAAGGGAGAAAACATTCCAGAATAACTTCTGGTAAACCATCAAAATACACTGAACAATAAAGGAGAAACTATGCGATATACATAATAATAATATGAAGTAAAAAGACAAACAAAAGATTATAAAATGAAACAGTGATCATTCCTCTACAACGGTTATTGCAAGAAAAGAGGTTATCCATGCTTCTTTTTAACGCTAAATGACAGTAAGAACAATTGAATTGATAATTCTTCAGTTATTGCCAGAAGTCTTAATAGTACATATTTTAAAAAGGGCTTCGACTCACTTGATGCAAAATTTTTGGAGATTCATCAAAATGGCCAAGTTTCTTGAGTTTCCTAAGTGTTCTTTTGCAAAGTGGAAGATACATTTCCTTTCTCTATTTGTCAGCCAGGCTGGATACTGTTCACAAGTGCTTTTCGCAGGCAAGTACATGGTACAGCCGAAGTCAAGTCGAATTGAAATTTGGTTAGCTACTTTGTGCATGTTCGTGAAGTAGACAATGAGCCACAACTATTGTGTGAAAGCTAATGAAACTGATGACACTACCTGGCTGCTCAAACCTTGTTTGGCAACACAATGTTCAAAACCTCCACCCATGCGTTTGAAACTAAGTGGGTAGACCAAAGAGCCGCACTTCCATATGGTCAATGTACTCAACTTTGCAGAATCAATTAAACTCATACACATACAATGATGTGTTCCAATGTTCCAAACTGTTCTTCGCATGTTGAAGAACAGCTTTTTGATGTAAGAATATGACCCTAGGATTGACTGTAAACAATGTTCTGTTTGTGGATTTTGATAGACCCTTCCTGTGGATGTCTGCTACATTTGCATTCTTAAATTAGAAGCTTAACAGTTAAATCCTTACCGAGCCAATGTGCTTGCATCCAATGATGCCTTACAGTTTTAAAATCCTATCTACCTTATCTAAATCTTTCTGATTCCTTAGAAGAATGAATCGACAAGATTCCTTTCCCTGCATGGGAAAATTGAAGTTAGGGTGGAGGTCATACAATAATGAGCAAGCTTATATGTTTTACCGCAAACAGGACTTTGACTCTGACCATAACTACAATCGAAAATTTGTCAGCAACATGCAGAAAATATCTTTGGGATTAGTGAAAGACTCCTTCACTCTATTAGTTATACTTCACTAAAACTAGAAACTTGAAGCCCAAGAAAGTGCCTACTATTCTGCTCCCTAATAACTGAGATATTCCGCTTGTACAGTGTTTTGCGAAGTCAAAAAGATACTAAGAGGTTTTAGAATGAAAGATTCACTTTCCGATTTACTGCACGTAATGCATTTTTTATTTGGATGATTGGGTGCGTAAATTAGTTAATGAATCAATAGGTCATTTGGGATAAAAAAAAAAAAGATAACTGAAAAATCATGCCAAACATTGATTCTCTAGTCCAATAAGAAGTATTTAAAGTCAAATAGTATCTAGGAGACGATATGGGATCCAACGAAATAGAACGCCTTGTAAGTTTACTGTATATTATCTCATCAATCCAACACAACTATCACTCATGTCAAGGCAGCCCATCATAAAATGACAGTCTCTCGAAATCTTGATAAACTGATAGTGGATACCCCTTATATACTAGACACCTACAGAGAGGTGTCCAGTTCAACGAAAAGAGAGAAGTTCTAATATGAAATAGTAAAACGATTGTTGATCTGTAACACATGTGATAGTATTTAAAAACCTAGTGGTGAATGGATGAGGTTTATACATTCACATTATAAACTAAAACCGTTCTACTCCCCACATATGAGTAATTAAAGTGTCTATTGTAGCCTACGAAATATGATGTGGTCCTATCTTTTGGAAGAAACTGCTAACGGATCATAAATTAAAGTGTACATTAGGCAAGTGCGTTCAAACAAATGGACACAATAACAATTTCACTATCTAACGATGAGGTATTCTCATTTTTTTCAGGTCTTTTGAAAACGCCTCTATATTTCAAAAAAAACTTAAGTGACCTTTCTTGTTCAGGTACTACCTACATGATGTTAAAGTGAGTCTAATCATCATTTTATTGGTATCTTGAGAAAACACTTAGTCTCTGCTTATACTTTCAACTTTAAACAAGAGCTCAAAAGATAGTGACGATCCCGTAAACGCAATAGTTGATTACAACGTAGTTCAAACTTCAGTAGTGGATGGAGGATACAAGGTAACACTTGAGCGATGGCTGTACTGGAGTTTGGCGCCGATTTAAAATAGGTTGCGCTATGCTAAAATCCCCATCAGCAAGCTTTCAATAAGATATCCAATTCTGAAATAATGGAGAATAATTGTAGCTCAGGTGGATGATCTTCGTTGTATTGTGTTCTCTGAGCTGGGTTGTTTAGTCGTGAAGCTTTCATCGTCTTGCTAGGCGACATCATCAGTACTAACTTCAGTATGAAGTGAGTTGTCAATATCTCTTCGTGAGTGATTTAGTGGCTCGCTCTGACGATGTGGTCTGTGATTGGTTGTTTCCTTCGATTGTTGTGTCATTGATTGTATAGATTTTTCTGTCGGCTGTCCCTCTGCTTGACCTCTGACCTTTCTGTCGTTTATCATCTTTCTTATTGGTTGACAGATCGGGTCTATGTCTATACATCTACTAATTATTGACTGACTGACCTGAATGCCAAGCTTCTAGGAATTCTCTGACATTCTTTGTGTTTCCTCTGTCCAAAATTTCTACATTGTCGAAATTGAATTCATGTCTATAATTATCCACGTGCATTGAAATGAGTGACGATGTCACTTTGATGTCACAGCACTATACGCATCCATCGAACCTCAATTGGCCAAGGAAATGATATCCCTCCTGATCAATGAAGACAAAAACCTTTCAGAACGCACAAAACTCAAATGTTCAAGTCCGATGGAACTCATTGACCTTTGTATGACAATATACTTCCAATTCGACGGCAAGATATACAGACAGATGAAACGAACTTCAATGGGATCACCGATATCTGGATTAATTGCAGAAGCAGTGATGCAGAGACTGGAAGCCACTATTTTACCTGTGATCGAACCAAAAATTTGAATTCGCTATGTGGACGACACTTTTGTCATCATTAAAAATGATGATATAGAAAACACCCAAAGTTTGATCAAAAGCGTTTTCAATGACATCAAATTCACAATGGAGAGAGTCAAACAACCAACTACCATTCCTTGATGTTTTAGTCAGTAGGACAAACGCCGGAATGGATGAAAAAATTCAACACTGACATACTTTAGGCTGTGATTTATGAGTTAAACGGTGAAGATTATGGAAAGATATCGTATCTTTTGCTGGTTAAATCCTAACCTTATAGTGCAACAATATACAAACTAATGTTAATGTTTACTTAAATGAGTATTGCAGCTTCATATTCGAGTCCAAACCACTTTATACTTCTGGTCAAAATTACATATCGTATGATATGCATCAAAATGGGAACGTTGAAAATAACAATATTAAAATGCACCTACAGTTTCAGAATAGAGAAGCCTGCTTAGTAACTGAAAACTGCATAAGTTTAGACTGTGATGAGCAAAAGTGAGAAGTAGCGAAATTTATATAGCTGTAGGATAAGGGAATCAATAATTGACTTTTGCTTGCTAAGTGACCGCTTTGATTAATTGCGGGGATGTTGAATAAGGGTTAAGGTCTTTTCACTTCAGAATGTTTTTTTCTTAGTTTGTATTAGTTTCGAGGTAATAGTTATGTGCATAGATTGTATCTACGTTTTTATTTGTGGGTAATTAACAAAGAGGAACAACTGGATTCTGGAAAATGCAATTTTTCGTAATCAATGTACCCTCGAAATTCAAAGTAGGACATAAAACGCTACTAATCACTTTGATTATGATAACTGAAAACGTACTCAAAAGATATGTGAAGAGTAATACACAAATAAATGTACAGAAGAGATACATCCAGTGTTCGTTATGCTATGGAACTAACTTCTGGGGGCATGGAAAATCTTTTATTTCTGGTCCTATTGTCTTTCATAGGAACATCTTTAGCAGATTACTCCATTATGATGTACAATATGCGATTGCGTTGCTTTTACAAAGAACTTAGTATTTACATCGACCAGAGTTTAAGGGAAGAATGGAGTGAAAAGACAGTAAAATATATCGTCTTGCTACCGACTGAGTAGAGCTTTAAAGATCTTCAAAATGATTGTTGGATTTTCTATGACCTAAAATTGATTCTCTTTGATTAGAAGTACTCATCACTAGACGCTATACAATTAGTCTGCATCACAACTAAACCACTTTCAACAGTAAACCTTTAACTATCAACCTAAATAAT